GTGGCGACTCGAAATGAAAGTGATTTCTCGATGCAATGGACAAGAGCCGAAGACGACGACAGCAACGATGACTATAACAGCCAACTGATTGACCTCATTACTACTCCATGTCTGTTTTGTTGGTGGTACTTCAACCCAAAAACAACAACAACAAAAACCAAAAACAAGATACTTTGTTTTTCGGTTACTTTCGATAACTTTTTAATCCGCAAAAGTAAATAAATAAAACATTTCATAATACGAGTACATATGTGAAGTAGCAAACGAGATGGAAAATTTCAAAATTTTGGGGTAGATAAGTTTCATATTTCTCCGGAGCAGGAGGATTAATGTGGAGAAGTGGTAGTGGTACAACTTCAGATGTTATAAATAATAAAATTAACTGAAGAAGTTTCAGAAGTAAATAATTTTTTTTAATATATATTGAAAATATATGTGGTATGGATTGTATTTTTAGACTCGAGGGTTATGTATTGTATTGGGATTGTTGGCGTCAGAGTTTAAGTAGAGATAACTAAATGGATAATTGTTGACCAAATTAGTTATAAATGTTAAAAAAATTGCATAATTCGGAAAAATAAATTTGAAATGTAATTCTTCTATGAAAAATGTGTTTGTATACCCCAAATCGATCGCTACAGTAGATGCTATAAAAATCATCATTTTCATAACTTGTTTTAAAACAAGTAAAAAAATGGGAGTCGGTGTTGCCGACAGAGTCGGTGTTGCCGACAGATATATACCCTCAGCCTATAGTTTGCGGATGTCTTCGGAGTTACACACAGGTTTTATTATTCGCTTTATATAAGGATTGGACCTATAGACCACATCTTCGGACCTAATCTAATTAATGATAATAAGTTTTACAAAGTTTGGTTCAAACCCACCATTCCATTCGCCTGATATTGATATTTACAAATATTGGAAATTTTTACCATTTAGGGCGGAGGTACCAGAAGAAGTTGACCAATGGATCGCATCTTCGGACTTGGTCTAGGCTTGATAAAGATAATAGGTTGTGCAAAGTTAGGTTCAAGTTAGGACATTCCATTCGCCTTATATTGTGGGGGAGGTACAAGAAGGAGTGGACCAATTGGCCCCTTCTTCGTGCTTGATCTAGATTTGGTAAAGATAATAGATTGTACAAAGTTTGGTTCAAATCGGGCATTCCATTCACCTGAAATTGGAATAACAAATATTGAACATTTTGACCCTTTGTGAGGGGGTACCAGAAGGAGCGAACCAATGGTTCCATTTCCGGACTTGATCTACGTAAAGATAATAGGTTTAAATCGGATAGTCCATAGTTGGCATGATATTATAAAATTAATTTTTTGCCCAATTTAGACAATTTTGTGGGGGAGGTACCAGAAGGAGTGGACCGATTCTGAATATGCAGGTCAATGGGTCCACAATTCCAATCCCAAGATCTCATTCAAATAGCCTATAAAAGTCTTCCGCGCATGTTACAGCTATTTGCGATAAGATCAGAACCAGGCTCTAAAAACACTAGGAATGTAAGGAAGCTAGGCATGTAAGGGGGGATCTTCGTAAAACATAGATTCAGAGGTACAAAACAGAGCCTCTAGCACAGAATTCATCAACTATCGCTTCAGAGAACTTCCCATATCTTCTGATGTATGGGTAGCAGAAAGGAAATTCCGGAACATTATTGCAGCTCCATCGTTAGATTTATTCCTGCGGGATGAGGTGCCTCGCTCCAGTAGATGTTTAGAGTATATATAGTATTGTAACATAGGAACCGGTATTATTAAACTTTTAAGTAGTTATCGAACTCTGGAAAGACGGATGATAGGACCTCGGTCACATTTAACGATGACACTGTGACGGATTCCAAGAGATGCCCTAGATATTTTAATCAACAGTTTGTCAAGCATCCCGAGATTGACAGGGCGAAAACAAGAGTACTACGTCGTAACCGGTTCGGCTCGTAACAGTGTTTTATGAAACGGTTTATTTTTGAGAACCTCGTAGAATTAAAATGGGCAACTAAGGTTTTAATAGTATACACTATAATAAATATCTGACAATTTTCCATAGTTTATGTAAATTTACACGATATTCAATCTGTATAAACATATAATCACATATACTGTTATTATTACGAAAATTCTATATTTATTATTAAGTTAAATAACACAATCTGATTTGTGGCCTATTGTTCATTTACTCCTACTATTCACATTGCTCGTAGCATGCCGAGTTTTGTTGTTGAAATTTAATTCGCAGAATAAAATTACAAATAGTATTTTTTAATTATATGAGGTGGGTGGACATTTGAAAATCGTGCACTGAAGCGATGATTAAAAAATATCAATATTTTTTATCTAAATTCAGGGTATGAATACAGAGTTACAAGGGTGTACCCTTAGGACTCTTTTTATATATACTTTTTTATTATATTGTATTCTTGATATATAATCCATAATCCTTGGTATTACTTTCAAGGATTATGGCAATGAAAACATTACTATTTCTCAATATTGATTAGTGCTCTGTGCATGCCATCCACCAATCAAAGTGCGATTTTGAAACCTCGATTCGAGGACATTTCAATGAACATAATTGATTAAGCCCATATTGTGAAGTGCAGTCTAAATGTCAGTCAAAGTAGGCAGGGACCCTCCCCCTCCAACCAAAACATAAGTATCTGTAATGTGTGTGTGTGTGTGTGTGTGTGAGTACAGAAACGCATCTACATTTTACTGCAAAAACATAGATAAAAGTGTCTATGCGTGTGTGTGTGAGTGCTATTATAGTGTTATTGATGATAATGGTGGCGGTAGTAGTTTGCTGCTGCTGCTGCCGCTGTTGTTGTTTTTGTTGATTTTTTGCACTTTTCTGAAGCTTTTTAACCTTGACATAGATACAACAAAATACCCCTACACCATCACCAAGACAATGTGTGTGCGTTTGTGTGTGTGCACTGCATTTATTGTGTTCTTTTGTTTGTTTTCGTTTTGCTGTTGTTGTTGTCGGTTTTTTCAGTATTTTTTGCTTTTTCTAAATGCCATGACTTTGTTTGCCAGCATTTAACGGCTAAACGAAATCGAATTGCAAAGCAAGGAAAGAAAATAAAAACGGCTGCACGTTTAAACAAAATCACCAAGAACAGCAACAACAAAACAGATACAACAACTGCACTTCTCATCACTTGTGTCAACACAACCACAAACAACAACAAGAATATCGTCTCCACCACACAATAATAAACACAGCCGAGTGTCATGAGAGGAGAATACGAAGAGCAATGCAAAATGCCAAGAAGCCAATAGCCACCAACCACCCACCTACGAAATGTGCACACTCACATCGACTCACACCCATCGATACACCCGCCAAGCATAGCCACCCACCCACACAAAACAACCTGCACTGCACTCATTGCATTTTCATAGCAGAGTAATCGCGTTTTAAATTATGAGAGTGAGCAAAGCCGCTAATGCAAAAAAAAAACGGAGATCAAACACTCAGAGACGACTGTAAATAAATTTGTATTATTAAAAGCTAAATCGTAGGGCCCGTTCACTCGCATTTGATGGAGGAAAACAATTTTAAAAATATATATTTTCAATTAGTATTTAATTCGTTGCACAACAAAAACAGGTAGTATGGTGCAGTAGGGTGGATCGTCAAAAGAGTCGAAAGAAGAGTTGATACTAACAATAAAAAAAACTTGAAAATAATAGAGCACTTTAATGTGAATTTTTTTAAGCGACCCAAAACAGGCGTAGATTATTTATAGATTATATTTTCTAGTACGGCGTGGATTTCTTAAAGAATGTTTTTCAAGGTGTATGACAGGCGGGGATTTTTAAAGAATATTTTTTCAAGGTCTATAGGAGGCGTGGATTTTATAAAGAATATATTTTCAAGGTCTATAAGAGGCGCGGCTTTTTTAAAGAATATATATTCAAGGTCTATAAGAGGCGTGACTTTTTTAAAAAATATATATTCAAGGTCTATAAGAGGCGTGGCTTTTTTAAAGAATATTTTTTAAGGTCTATAGGAGGCATGGATTTTTTGAAGAATAGCTTTTTTTTAGATCTATAGGAGGCATGAATTTTTAAGAATATTTTTTAAGAATATAATTTTTCATGCTCTATAAGAGGCGTGGGGTTTATAAAGAATACTTTTTCAAGGTCTATAAGAGCCGTGAATTTTTTAAGAATACTTTTTCAAGGTCTACAAGAGCCGTGAATTTTTTAAGAATATTTTTCAAGGTCTATAGAAGGAGTGGATATTTTCAAATAATATTTCAAGGTATATAGCAGGCGTGGATTTTTAAAGAATATTTTTTCAAGAAGAAGCAGCTGAGACTAAATGTTGAAAATTGGTCCCAGACTGATACCCCTACGGAAAACATTCCATCCTCTTCCGCTCTAATATACTGCAATATGTAATGGAGGAGATCCTATGGTCTAATTTACTGCATCTCAGAGACATCGCAATTCATATTTTTTGGTATAGATTTCGGTAACCTACTTCCAAATGGTCTGTCCAAATGACGTGCGTAGAATCAGCATAATGTCCTATAGAATAGGCATTTCATGATCATCACCAACCATAAATGGTCTCCGGAGCCATAAACGGCTACAGATACAATAGTGAAAAGTTTCTTCTTAGACAAATACATTCCATTCCGGCACTACCAATGCCCGGGTAATGTTCTAAATTCTTATCGAGGCGTATAGTCAACGTAATTCAAAATAGGTGTCTATCTGCCTTCAAATCCTTCTTGAAATCGGAAACAGCCGCCACCGAGAGCTACAGAAATGCAGCGGCTGGCGTAATCAGGGGGATTCACCACCTGACCTACATTTGGTATTGGTTCACATGACAACATCTCTTCAATTGTCCTGCAATTACGGTCGCTGATTTTTTGAAAAATTATGAACTTATTGAGTATACCAATTTGTGTATAAAATTTTAGCCCCAAATGTTAGGAAATTTTTATTCTAAAACCTTCCCGTACTTCTTCATAATAACCCGCTTGAACTTACCTCACTACCAATTGTTGTGATTTTCACCAATACTTCATCTCTGCCGGAATCATGTTGTACCACATCTCCTGATGTCTCACGACCATTATACGTTAAATATACACGTTGGCCCGGTTGTAGCTTTACGCCCAAAATCGAACGAAATCCGGGACCAATGAGATCAGTTTCGCGAAATTCTTTAATCATGGCATTACGGCGTAATGTTTGAGCTGGACTATTATGAACACTGGCGGCATGACGACGAGCCTCGGCCGATGTTGAGGCCACGACGTTATCTTGGGTTTTGAAATCGAAACGGACAATATATTTGGTTTCGTTGGCACTATCGGTGGTCGCGGCGGTTTTGGCATTGGCACTGGTAACGGTGGCGGTGGGTGGTGTTTTGACATCTTGTATAACACCTGAATACCAGAGACCATCGGGACCGGGGGCACAAACTTTGGTGCCAATAATTGAGCGTTTGGCTAAACGGCGTCCGGTAGACATTTTTGATTATTTGATTTTTTTTGTTTTTGTTATAAAGAAAAGGTGTAAAACGTAAACGAAGACACGAAGAAAATGGAAGACTTTTTTGTGGTGTTTTTTCTTGATATTTCAAAAATAAACTTTGTGGCAGAAACTTGTTGCACACGTTTTTTTTATAGCCAAAAGATAAATGATATAGGGAAGAACGAAAAATATTTTGTAATATTATTTAACTTTTTAGTAAAGAGAACCGAATTTTTTTAAATAGATTTTTAGAAATTGAATTTTTTTGATAATGACTTTTGTATCATATTTTTGTTCTCAATTTAAATTTATTGGCATTAAAAACTTGTCGCGGTATATTCATGGTTTTTTTGTTATTTTTTTTATAACTTTTATTGCACTTGGTTTTTATTTTACTTTTTTGTAAAGTTTTATTTTTTATTTAAAATTTAATTTTTAATATTATTTAATAATTATTTTTATTTATTTACTTTTTTGTTGTAATTTAATTTAGATTTTTTATTATTATTCAATTTCAAATATTTATTTTTTTTATATTTTCCAATTTTTTTATTTTTTGTTTTTGCAAATTTTTTTCTGTATCTATTTTCCAAAACAATTTTTGTATTTTATTTCACTTAACATTACAGCACTATTTATGTTATATTTTGAGGTTATGAAAACTTAACAGCTGTTATTAACATATTAATGTTGAGTGTGTAATGAAACGAAAGGAAGGTTGTACTTTTTAAATTTTTTTGAACAATAATATTTTAAACAATTTTTTGAAAAAAAATTAATGTTGCCAGATTTTTATAAACGGAGATTTGCCACTATTTTTTTATGAACCGGTTATTGTTATTGTTATTATTATTTAGTTGTTATTGTTTTTTTCTTTTCATTACTTGCATCGATTATCAAGCTTCATTAGATATTCTTAATATTATTATTTTCAAATTCACTTTTTTCTCTCTCTCGCCGCTCTCTTCTTAGCTCAATATCTTATCAGCACACCTTTAATGAAATTTACGTATTTTTTGTTGTTTTTCATAATATATTTTTTTATACATTTAATATTTTCTTTTTTTAATTTTTGATAGTTTTTTTCTCATTAATTTTTTGTTTTTCTTTTACTTCTTCTTCTTCTTCTTCACCTCTGTTAAATTATGATCATCACTTTACGTTTCGACTTGATCTGATGATGGTTGTCTGAACGATTTGTCGACGTTGTCGTGTGACTATTAAACGTGTGTATTTTTATTGGAAACACTGATGATTTTCGAAGAATATTTTCTTGATAATAGATTTGGAATTTCGAAATGCGTTGTTTGAATATCTTCGGATTGGTGGCGAGCTGGACTTGAAACTTGCCGAAAACACTGGACGCTATGACACTATGTCGAATGCTATTGAATTGTCGTTTCTCACTGACTGGGGCATGGGGACCTGCTATTGGCTTGGCTACATGCCGTTCGTAAGGGGTTAACAGATGATGATGACGTTTGGCTTTGTGGTCGGGCCTAAGCATAATCCACTTGTCACTGAGCTATTTTGGTTAAACAGTTTGTCTAAAGCGGAGGGCGGGCAGGGATTGGACCTCCACTCCACAGTTAAGAATAAAAATGCGGTTTATTTCAAATGTATTTTAATTGTTTCTCTGCTGTGTGTTGAAACACTGCTGTATTATTATTATTTTGTTTCTTTTATTTAAATTCAGTTACAGGAAATATTTATAACAAATGCACTTTTATATAAAACAATAATTTTTTAATTCACAAAATATTTCTTTAACAAAAAATAATTCTTTGGAAGTTCTTATTTTCCTATTTTTTTGTGTGAGAGTTTTTTTTTAGATATTTTTTTTTATTATGCGGGTTGGGTTTCTTCTTCACCGAGCGAGCACTGATGACGATCGACCGAACGTTGGAATACGTTGCGGTGGTGGTGCGTGGGGTTGGTTGTTTCTTTCAATGCTGTTGTTGTTGCTGCTGCTGCTGAGCCTTCAAATGACGTTTGAAGTGCATACGTTATACGATAATTCGGCTACGTCGTATCATCGACATGGAATCGATTGCATTACGTTCTGCTGCGTTTATTGCTGTTGTTGTTGTGGCACGGTCGGGTTGGTATGTTCACTGTGTATTTGTGGGGGTGCTCTCTTCTCCAAAAAAGCGCTTATCGTCTGAACACGAGAGTTGGCTATCAACGACTGATTTTTCGTAAATACGCTTTGTTGTTTTGTGTGTATTTGATTATGCTTCTGCTTCTGCCCGACAGCCAGCCAGCTCACATTCGGCGTTCGTGTGTGTATATGTGAGCGGACGGTTTAGTTTCTTGCTTGCTTGTTTGCTGCTTGATTATTTGTTTCGTTTTGGGCTTGACTGTCTGAATAGCTATATGTCTGTCCGGCCGCCAGCTAGCTCGCTCACAGCTCACACGACTTTGTTGGCTTGTTTTTCTTGTTGTTGCTGTGAGTGCGCGCGATGTTGTGTGCTGGTAGTCACTCAGCTCGCCTTTGTGGCTGTTTGTTATGATTTTGTTGTTGTTGTTTTGTATTTTCTTTTTTTATACGAGTTTTTTATTTATTTATTTTTTTATTGTGGCTGGTGTGTTTCGTTGTTGTTTTCTCGAAAAATCAAAACAAAAGAGAAATGAAAGTTGAAAAGAAAATCGAAACGTAAAGCGGTGCGGTACGGTGTTATGACGTTGTCATCAACAAACAGCCAGGCAAAGCAACAACTTTACCAAGATCCATACAAATGCACTTCCAAAGAACACGCACACACACGGACACATTGAGGCCCAAAACAAAAACGTGATACCAAAGGTAAACAAATCAAATATGTATTTCAATCCAATCTCAAGAAGCTAGCAAAGAATTCTTTAACAATTACTATTTTTTCTTCTTCTTTTTTTGTATGGAAATAAATCACTCTCACAATAAATTATTTATTTTTTTGTTTTAATTATTTATTTATTTTCCCTCTTTAAAAACTATCTTGTTTATGTTGTGTTTTCTGGCGATACATTTTGTATCTATAACAGTTTTTATTACGTCTTTTGTTTTTATTACGTTTTCATCATAACATTCATTTCCTATACTCTGTCTTTCTTTCGCTCTCTGTGTGAGTGTGTTGTTTTCACACAATTGCTCTCCGCTATGTTGTCCGTTTGAATCTCCCTCATCTGTCAGGGCAACCTACATTTCAATGTTCTCTGAGGTTTTTGTTTTTCTTTTTTTTTACTTAGTGGCCAATGCGACAATGTTGCCAAAACAGCTGTTTCGTGGGACGTCATGCAACACAGCCATGTATAGATACACACACGCACACGTGCTCACCCGCTCACACGCATATGTCAACGGCTATGACGACGATGACGAGGGCATTCATTTGCTTGTCAACATCTTGCAAATGTAAACAAATCTCCCATAAACACCGGCCGGTATCCAACAGATACACTCGCATCGATGCTCAGTGCACTGAGCGCCTTCTCAGTTAACAGTAAAATAAAAACAAACACACACTCGCACGCACACTCGTACTCAGTATCTCTGAGATAAATTCTCGTGCTCTTTGCTTCCAAGTATCGCCTATGAACGCCCCCCTCTTCGCATATCAACAATGTTCATTAACGACGTTTGTTTTCTTTCCACCCATCAGCTGTTTTCTGTTGTCGTTTGGATTTCCTGTTTTGTTTCTGTTCTTTTCTTCACAATGTGAGAGAGGGAGCGAAGTATTTTCGTGTGTGAGTGTTATTGAGATAATGTTATTATGATGACTTAATTGCGAAGGAGAGGTTGGTAGGTAGGGTGTTGCCATTCACGCCATTTCTTCTGTATGTTTTTGTGTTTTGTTTAGAAATTGTTGCTGCACTGCTATGAAATTTTCTTATTGACATAAAGGAAATAAATGATGCTCAAGAAGGGCCGATTGAATAACTGACCAATTTCTCAAATGTCTTTATTTTACCATACATTTTTATCAATGACAACAAACTTTTATGATTTTTTTATTTTATATTTTTACATATAGAAAATATATTCACATGTGTATGTATACACGATCTGTTTATGTATTTTTAAATAAATGTAATATTACGTTGTTGTTATTATTAGAATGACCTCCGTTTTATATTAAAAAAAAACTACAACATTTTACAATTTTAATTTAAATAAACAACAATGGCTGTTTATTCGGTTGGGCCGGAATATTTTCGAAAAGAAAATATAACTTTTACAAGAACAATTACAATTACGGTTATTATATGTTGTCAGGTTATAATAGCTTTGTGTGGCTCCAAGAGTTTGTAACGCCACGAAATATCGGTCACAAGTCCACTAGACCCACTTTTTAGTATACCGATCATATCCCGACTAGCTGAGTAGATCTAGACATGTGTGTCCGCCCGTTTGTCCATTATAATTTGTAAACACAATATAGACCACAGTTATGGACGAATTGCCACGAAATTTTGCATGTAGAACCGGTTTCGACCGAGGAAGAAATGCAACAAAAACTTTTTCTGGTCGCTTCAGATGCCGCAATTATGACCCGAACATCCCGATATTTTACATAGAGAAGAGGATTTAGCCAACCCGCATTTTTAGCGGGTTAAATGAACCAGGACTTTTGTGTGAAAAATTACAAAACTTGCATTCTATGGCGTATATATTTTCTCGTGAGAAGATGATGTTATATCGAAGAGGAGTTGTTGCTCTTTAAATTGATATAAATAAATCGATACTATGCAGTGATCGTCGAGAATAGTCCGACCGATAAACTAAAAAAGGAGACCCATAAGTAGATGATGGATGCAGTCAGTAACAATATCATGGATACCTTGCTGCAAATAGGGCCCAATCGATCTGGACAGCTGCGAGTTCAAGGGAGATGGTCTACTGACACAATTTGAGATCTCAAAGAGCATGGAGTTGCTGAGAAAATCGCCTTCATAGAAGAGACAATCAAACTCTAATTTGTAAGAAAATATACTTTCCTGAACTACAAGAGGCAACAGTCAGAGATTGGGGT